CACTGTGACACGCAATCAGAATGAACACTGTTCACTTTATACGGTCTTTCTCCTCCGTACTATTGATGTGGCTAAGTTAATTTTGCGAGCAAAATCATACATGTGAATTTTGTCATAGAAAGTATTTCTGGGATTTGGTAAAGGCTTACTTGTGTGACCTCCACTACATCATCACGCAAACTGTACTATTATCTCGGCACCCATTTTTTACCTGACTTTCGAAAAAAACTAATTTTATTTGAACTTACCAATAGCATTCATCATTTAAAGCGAAATTTTGCACATTAATCTAAAATGGTTTAGATGTAACATGGAAGATTTGTTATACTGTATCAAGTTGGAACCGCAAGTCCCTAGGTGTGTCAATTTTTGGTTTGTAGAAAAAAAATTGTCGGATATTTCCCTCAAACAAATGGTTTTTCAAAAAAATTGAGTTTCGATAAATTTGATGGAATCCATTTTTCAAACCATTTGGAAGCGTACACGTGTTTTCCATATATTCTGCAACCATCTTTAGGAAACATATATATTTTGTTTGAATGAAGTATAGATAATACTGTCCAATGACGAGTAATATAGTGCATTTGGGGAAATAGCTTATTTTACGAAGTTGCATTAAATTACTGGTGCCAAATATCAAAAACACAAATGTCCACTGGCCAGAAACCGTTTCAGGGGTAATACACTAATTGTATACCTTTGTTACAACTTTATTCACACCTTTGCATATTGTGCGCTATACGCTTTCTACATTCACCCACCATTCCCATAATGAGGGGCGATATCCCCAAATGCCTGGAATAGGAGACCTCCATTCTCGTACCCATTGGGATAACAAAGCACTAATCAATATGGATGAAAATATTGGCTAAGAACGCACAGGTAGGCACCAATCTAGAGACTAATGAGAATGTCAACGCATATTTCATCCAGCTTCCGTTTTGTGGCATGAATTCTAACTAAATGGGATGTTAGGCTAGCGAATTGGATGCGTAATGCTGCCATCACCTTTGCACTACCGGATTAGACCGCAGATGGTGGAAAAGAAGCCATAGACACGAACTGACTCACGGCTTAGTTCAACAGGAAATTAGACCGATTCGACAGCAGAGAGATGACATTTCGCGTCTAGAACTAATAAAAACCTGGATTAACTTAGCGCAATAAAAATAAGCACCTAAAGATTCTTGATGTAGAGGTCACCTTTTTCAAAGTAATGATCCTTCAAATCTGTAGAGATCTATGTTCAGATGTAGTCCCTTAAGAATTGTAATCGCATTTCTCCATCAGGAATTCAACTTAACCTCACAAAAGACTATAACCGGTCTCCCAACTCTAAAGAAACAATCTCATTCACAGACTAATCATCCACGCCTGACTCGGAACACTCAACACGTCAACGTGATTAGAATTTTAATTCAGACCAGAGCACTTTCTCGTGTTTCTATAGCAAACCGGATCTCCTCCTTATTGGCGTTAAGTAGTTCCGGCACCATTCTTACTCATTCAAACTAACATATACTTTGCACAAATGGTAATTAGAGCTCATCGAGTTGGTGTAAAACGAGATTCGAGGTTGGAGAATGTGGCGCTGAAGAAAGTGGCAAGCAATAATCTTGAAAACAATGACCTTGTATGTGCTAACCGTCACAAGAACCAAGCGCCCCAACTCAGAGTCAAACTAATTAAGCGCGACCAAACCACTAATTAGTAAAAGAAAGCACTACACAACAGCAACAACAACAGTGCTCTTATATTACTCAAGTCATACGAAAGGAATACAATCTGGTATCACGAAGAATTTTGCGTTTTAAAGAATTTTCCAGCTAAAAGACGACGCTCTTCCTCCTTGCATTCACGACTTATCCTCGCAAGAGTGGCCAGTTCTCGATTTACACGAGCTGTCATGGTATCGGGTGCAAGCTCCTTGACCCTCAAGAAGTCCGCTTCGGCCAACTCAACATCCGAAGTAGCCGAATAGGCTTGTGCTCGGCGGAACAGCGCCTTCACATTGTCCTTATCCCGAGCCAAGGCCTCACTTGCACTGCGTATCGCTCCGTAATAGTCCTAGAAGACGAAAGTATGGAGGTGAAGTTGAATGAAATATAAAAAAGAGTAGGGAGGATTAGATGCAATGAACTCCAACCATGAGTTTGAACTGACACTGGGCCAGATTGAGGTAGAAAGGAACTCTTGATTGATCCAATTGCACGTATTCGGGTTCACCGGGTTTTTCTACGAGTATGAGTTGTTCGATGAGGTTGAGAGCCTCTTCATACTTGGCTGCAGCCTTAAACCATTGATACTGGCCATAGAGAACGTTGCCCTCCTTTCGAAGTCTTGGAATAGCTTCCAATTTTTCCTCTGGGGTCATTATCCAACTGTCTTTTGGAGCTTCGTTGGGAAGTATCACCCTAATCGAAAGGTGCAATGATTTAAGGTTAAATTAGCTGGTTAACCTAAACTAATCATCTCCTTTTTTCACTTAACTTCGCATTTGACCTTGAAGAATGTGCTTTCCAACAGTTTCATTTTTGAGTGCAAGAGTTCCTGACAGACATCTCTCAATACCTTCACCAACTTTAATTATCCGTTCACTGAATGGACAACGTTGAATTTCGAATAGCTCACTTCTTAACTAGACACTTCTCGGTATAATGGTTAGGGTGGGGTGGGGTGGGGAGGACTAACGAAAAGACGCTTAAAGTAAGGTCAAAGTATTCACCTGTCTTACCTTAATTGATTTTTAACTTGAGATGCCATAGTAGTTTTCTAATAGGTAGATCAGTGTACCATTACCTAAAATTCAAATTTCCCGAATAATTGACTGATAGGAGTATTTACTCCATTCAGTACATAATGAACGGTTGTTGCATTGCGATGGTTAGTCTTGCCACTAATTCATTATTTTTCTTTCCAATAGTGCTCAACAGCAGCCGGACTAGAACGACAGCAATGGTTCAATCAAAAGCTACACACCATCTCGTGAACTAGACTTCTACACTCGTAATCGCTTCTGCACTTATTGGGTAACTAAGAGGAGTATTGCTTTCCCTAATAAAGGCCTCATCTCCTACCAATTCTAGAATTGAGTAACTGTATACCATACAGACATCAGTGTTAGGAGCCGAACATACTAGTGGCTTCTTACTATCCAATTAGCAACGAGGGCAACATCTGATAGACTTACGAATGCAGATCGAAGACAAACTCCAGCATCTTTGGTTTAAGCAACAGTTCGTCCAAATCAGGATACCCAAGACCCCCATGGGCTTGCAGACTCATAAAGGCGCAAGTGTGCTTGGGCGGATTGGCTGAGTCAGGTGTACGATTGAGCATATAGTCGCGGAGTTTCTTGTTGATCGTTGGAAAAGAGGCGAGTTGGCTGGGAGGCACCATGAATGACGACACCTCACCGACCATCATTGTTTGCAAACAATACTCCCAGAACTAGAGATGAAGTAAAAACAAGAGCCGTTTATACTAGCCATGGAATGAGGGCTTTAAAGGATCATTCTACACATTATTATTATAAGAAAAAAACAGTTGAATTTTAGGAAAATTCTTCGTCAATCTAATACAACCACCAATGAAAAGAAATTTAACAAAAATTTACCTCTGTATACTGAAAAGCATAAACAAGCTAACTTATCAGGAGATATTTATAGCAAACATTCAAACTCAGTCAATAAGGAGATGCAAATAACACTCACCCTAATCCCCAACCCCATCACCCACTCAACTTCACTACACCTATAATTTGGCAGATATTCCCCAGAACAGGACTAATTAACGAACATAATAGACTCATTTGGGTATTATAATTGCTATGGCATAGTTAAGTTGATTTTTTTAAGTTCAAGGCTTTCGCCAACCCAGGTTGTTTGATGAAAATACTGGTGAGACACCAAACACAGCCATGCCGCGCACCAATGATTCTCCCTCTCTCAAGGTCATCGAAGTTAAAGCTTTGCAATTTAAGTTCAAAAAGTGCTTTTACAAATGGCGGAACCAAAACACCAATGGGATCAGTAATTCCCATGGTGCTTAAAAAGTCCCATAGTAGAATGTCGTCCTTTGCGTTAACATTAAGTACCACGCACGAAGGATACTTTTTTCGAAAACCCCCTGACACAAAACATCCATCATTCCCTTTACGCTTCCCCCCCCCCCCCAATACATACAACCACCTGATCAAATTACATAGTTATGTACTCACATCACCCATACACTATTGGACATAAGGCCCATTTTCAATTCTGAAAATTGTATGTGAGACAAGAGTTGTTGAACTCCAAACCCATATTCACTCCCCAGTAGTAACACAAAGTCCTTGCTAATTTGTCCTTGACAAGTTGACAGTGAAGGTCATTTGAATTGACGAAAAATTGAAGGCCACCTTTCACTAGCAATTAATTATTGAGCTTTTAACGCAAAAGATAGTGAAAAGCAAAGAAAATAGACACAAATTCATACACAATTTGAAGTGCATCTCCAATGTAGTTCAACGGACGTTGACAGACGATAGAAGTTTTTCTCCACACTTTATATCCACAGAGTGGGGTGTGCGATAGACCTACCTCCACGTGGTGCACCCCGGACAACGTATACTCATACAAAACAAAAGTTCATTTACCGGCGCTTGACTTCTGACCTCAAGCTTCCATGACCCCATGGCATGTCATATTCCACCACTTCTACAGTACTCACCTCACCTTTTTTCTAACTTTGTTTCTATCTCTTTACATCATTGAATCCCTCTTCCGTTCCCCCCCCCCCCCCCCCACCTTCGGCCTTTTCACTTTGATGTTCCTTCCCATCTGTGAAGCCTGAAGTCAACTAAAGGGTTAATGATAACTATCAAAACACCTGCCATTTGAAATAAATAAATAAATATCCACAGAGTTGTAATATAGTCAACCGAAATTTCACATACTTCCATCCACATTGGAGAGAAAGAGAGAGATTGCAATAAAGAGAATAAGATTTTTCAGCCAAGGAGTATCTTCAGCTGAATGTGCAAGAGTGTGATGGTAATTGTAATAAGAAACAAAGAAGTGCATTAAAGAGTTTATCGAAGGAAATCGCATAGGTATAATGAGAGCGTAAGTATACTAATGATGGTCGTTCCGCTCACTTTGGAGTATAAGGTGACTATTTATAGAAAATGCCTGCAATTGGTCAACTCCACCCCACCCCACCCCACCCCACCCAACCCCAAACCTTTCCGATATTAACAAATAAGAGTAAATACCAAGCTTATCCTCAAATACTCACCTTAGAAAATTCTGTTCGCAAAGACCACATAACTCACCTCAATCTGAAAGTCCTTTCCACTATACAACTCCATCTTCTTTCCATACTTCTTAGTATCATCCAGAAAGTCCTCCGGTGTATCCGGATTACCAATTCGGTAATCAAAGATGAACTTGGTGTGTTTCGGATAGGCAATTCCACCTCCCGGTGCAGTGCATTCAGCAGGCAACTTGGAGGGATTGCCAATATGAAGAATCCTCTTCCGAATATTGTGATTCATCAGGTAAGTGGAGGCGGCTGACAGTGGCGGTTTCTTGTTCAAAGACTGAGGAAGACCATCTTGTCGGGCCTTACGAAGAGCATTGGCCATTTGACTAATCAACCTTTCTCCCTCTTCCTTGGAGCTGACTCCTCCGTCGTCAAAGTGCCCATTATCACAGTCATCACCGTGTTTAGGATTCACAGACTTATTGGTGTCCTTATTTGCTAATTTGCTACACCCAGAGTTACTTTCCTCTTGGTTCGATTTCACCCCCAATTCTCTATGAGTTGAAACTTCGGAGTTCTCTGAGGTTGGTAAAGACACATCTTGTTTCCTGGTCATTTCATCCTTGTCTTTATCACTCATGGCCTGGAAGGAAAACGTAGAGAAGATAAGACACCTCCCTACTCAAATATGAGTACAGATTTCTCATAAGAAAAAAACTTCTAGTGATATAATTGCTCTGAAACAGTCTTAGTGATAAGCTCTCATCCAGCCATTTCTCTGCATCACATCCCTAACCTATGACCTCACATGAGACAAAATGGTCAGTTAATGCAACACCACTAAAATGAGTGAACAATTAGGCATANCTGGTAAGAAGTAAACCTTTTTCAATCAAAAGTATTTTTTACTTAAACCTAGGACAGGGTGAAGTTGGCATAAAGTTCCTAAGGTCACCATTTCATGGGTCGCTCTCAACACTGAATGTCGAAGTTGTGCTGAAAGATAACGCACACCCTACTATTAACGCAACATTGTAGGTTATAAACAGACTATCACAGACAAACATATGGTTTCGATCAAAAAGCACACATTTTTAGTCATTAATCATTGTATTTCCAAACCAATGTCATCGGTTTTCACATCATTTAGTATCACCTTTATTTTGGTATTACCAACTCGAGAAGACAAAGAGAGAGAGAGAGAGAGAAGGGAAGAGAGAAGGGAAGTGAAAAGAGGGGGATTCTCAAATAGCCTTTGGGATAATTGGGTTGGTGGAATTGACCGATGCTAATTGGTGCAGTCGTAGGAGGCAACGCCAGAAAAGACTAGCTGAATGGTTGTAGATCCTCCGATTTTGAGCTCCCTTCCTTCAGATTACTCAAACGCCTCAGAATCTCATCTAATTGTGAAGTGGTTGACTGTCGAATCTCGTTCAAATTTGATGCCAACGAGAAAATACCTAAAATTGAATTTAAACTATTAAATATCATCATTACGCCCAAAGATTACTTTTATAACAATCGCTCTAAATTCCGTGATATGCACCCTAAACCAGAAAATGAAACAACGCATTTTGTATAATTCAAATGTACATTTTCTGAATAAGCTGGAATCAATAAACATCAATGATTTCGACATTGGCTAACGGGAAGACGTAAATAAACATGCACATCATCAAAGAGAATTGCTTTTCAACCAATTATAGCACAACCACCTTGAAGCTAAATTAGCTAAATGAGCTTTAAACTAATTGCCATTTAACTTGTATTCACTCAATAAAAAAGAAGGCGCTTACAATAATCGAATTAAGTAGTAATTGACAAATGTCCTGAAAAGTACGGCCCAGAAGAAGGAACCGACCTCTACTATTACTTTTCATTGAAAAAATTATTTGAATGTATTAAGTTAACTCAACCTGACTATAGGAAGCGTGTTCTAAAAAGGCGATGCCAATGGGGGTGGTAAACAATGAGAAACTATGCGTTCCATAAACAGATGTCTGAGTTCAAATAAACCAGACAAAGTGAAGGAAACAACTCTGCAGGTTCAAAATTATTTATGAGCAATAAATTTCATTTTATTGTTAAGAGAGAGAGAGAGGTGGAGGTAGAGAGCACGTAAGGTACACGTTGCATCCTGTCTTTGGCCTTCTAAGGACTTGAACACCTGCAATATACTACCACTGCGACTGCAAATTTGTGATTAAATGCTCAAAACCCGCCGATTTCAACTTTGGCTTAACGGTTTCAATCTCGGGGGAATAGGAAGTTAACGGATACGATAAAATAAGGATGATCCTCAAACTTAGAGGACAACCTTGGCACCGGGCATGTTTTATAACTAGTCTCCTCCCAACTTTTGTAAAGTACAATTCACCTTGGGGATTAGGTTCTGCTGATTTGAGATAACTGGCCATTGGACAGCGTTAATCTACAAGTGGCTCAGATTAAAGGGAGAAAGGTGAAAGGGAAGAGAAATGAAAAGTGAATTCAGGATATTTTGTTAACTAAACAAAGGCACTATATAAAGGGAAACAAGTTGCTCTCGTTAATGATAACCCAGAGATCAAAGCACTGGCAGAATGACACAAGATTTTTGGCTCAAAATAACCGCCAGTCTGTTAGTAGCTACAGTGACACAGTCTGTAGGAATTAATGAACCTTCAGACAAAGCAACAAACGCTCCAGCTATGACCTTCTTCCCCAACACATTCCCTCCAATCTTACTTTTGTGCCACTCAGGAATTTATAGCATCTTTGGCATTCACCCATGCATGATTATTGAAGTGCCTTATCGATTTCCCGAAGTTACCTGATTACTAGTTTCCTATTCCCTCAATCTGTATCCCATCTTGTGGTATTGGAGTTCATATATAGTTAGAATGAACAATTATCTGGCAAGCTATAGTGGTTGTGTACTTCAGCCTGCTTTGCTCATTCAATTCCTGACTTGCTCACTGTGAGGTGGGCTTTCCCTTTGGTTGCTTCTCGTTCGTTCCTGCGTATTGTTTTGGTGCAAATTTTGCAGGAGCTTGAAGAAGAATCGACAAATTGGCGACTCCTAGGCAGGTTCATGCTAGCGACAACTATACAAACGCTGAATGATTTGTGAAACCGTAATCTTTGACTAATCAGACGTGCATCATAGAATAGTTTCAGCAACAATGAAAATGACAGATTCGGACTTGCTTCAAGTAAGTTCTCTATTTTGAGAAACAAATTCTTCTTCATGGAATATATAGTTTCCAATAAAAAAATAAGTACCATTGTTTTGACAATGATAGTAAAAAGCCCCCCCCCAAATAACGACGTTGACACGTTCATCAACATACTGAAACACCATCTCATTTTGCCTCAAAATACTGGTTTACATTAACTCTCAATATCACAATGCAACTCGCGTTCTATAACACCGAAATCCTTTTGAGTCCGATCCATCACGAATGAATAAAGCTAATTCAAGTTCAACATAGGGATGCAAAGAGACCTTAGAAAAAATAAATTATGGAACACCAGGATGCCGGTGAAATTACAGAGAAGGCCAAAGAGCAACAGGCCATTCAGCTCCTGAAAAATTCAAGCCAGCTGAATAGAGGAGAGGTAGAAGAATGCAGTAGGAGGGGAGAATAAAATAAAAAAAGAGATTTCTTGAAGAGACGAATTGCCCTAAATAGCACTGCACTTTTAGAGTCGGTAGAGTAACGAAACAAGATGTCACCTTGGCGAAAGTGTAAACAATGGCATTACTACTCTTCAGACTCACAAATAAATACTCCCCCCCCCCCAACCCACTAAAAGGAGGCGTTTTCCAGCACCAACTTTGGGTAGTTTCGACATGGCAAAAAAACCCAAATTCTATGACACCTTTTATAGGGCCAGATTCAAGTAATGCAATTAACCATTTCGTGGGGTGTGCGATAGACTTACCTCCACGTGGTGCATCCTGGGCAACGTATATTCATACGGCAAAAAAGTCTATTAACCGGCAGTTGACTTCTCACTTCAAACCACCATCACCTCACTCGATGCCATATTGGAATATTTTCACAGTACTCACCTCAACTTTTTTCTGACTTTGTGTCTGTCTCTTACATCTTTGAAACACTCTTCTGTTCCCCCCTGTCAACTTTTTCAATTTGATGTTTCTTCCCCTCTGTGAAGCCTGAAGCCAACTAAAGGGCTAATGATAACCATCAAGATGCCTGCCATTGGATATAAATAAATAAATAAATTAACCATTTCGTTTGTAGGACCCTCTTGATCCTTAAGTTAATACACAAACACAAAGAAACACTACAATCGTTTGGTAAAGTTTGAGCACTTAAGCATTTACTTATCATTGTTTAAATGAGAATATAGTTTCGAAGTGGACTCTGACCTTTGCTCGATTCCTGGGATATTAGTATCACTCCAGAGGGTACAAAGTTCAACTGGTTTGAGCACATAAAAAAACGAAACAAAGCACAAACATGTTCAAACACACACACACACACACACCCCCGAGACTCTAAGAAGCCTAACCAACTCATTTTAGTATCCATCTCAAATTGCATAGCTATTTTTTAACAAATAGGGAAGTCCAATCTGTCAACCCCCCTCCCCCNCCCCCCCCCCCCCCCTACTTCTACCTATTCTATTTCCTTAGGCGTTTACCCAAAATACAACGACGTCGTAGTCTCCGAGAATTAGGAATACAATTGAATTGTTTGGAAGGAATAACTCTAAGCCTATCCAGCCTCGAGGCCAAACAAAATTAATCGATTTTTTGGCAAAAACACAAACAAAGCTTCTGGAACTCTAACAGCTCATTATGTCACTACAACTAAAATAGGAGCATTTTTATATGCCACACTAACGCGTGCCTACGATTTATAAATATTTATTTATTTCAAATGGCAGGCGTTTTGATAGTTATCATTAGCCCTTTAGCTGACTTCAGGCTTTACAGATGGGAAGGAACATCAAAGTAACAGAAAGTCGAGGGGTGGAGAACATAAGAGTGATTTAGAGATGTAAAGAGACAGACATGAAGGTAGAGAAAAGGTAGGATGAGTACTGCGCCAGAAGTCATTCGCCAGTTAATAGACTTTTTTGCCGTGTGAATATACGTTGCCCAGGGTGCACCACGTGGAGGTAAGTCTATCACGCACCCCGATTTATAAATATTGAAATTGGTTTTTTTTTCTCGATGTGCTTGTTGGGAACACAATGATTTACCTCAATTAGTAAAGTAAAATATTGAGTTGGTGACGTAAAGGGAGAGAAAAGTGTGAGGACCATCCCCATTGAAAATTTTCGCTGATTTGATTACCAACAAACAGGAGCTTGAATCCAGTTAATTAGGTAGCAAGAAAGTAATTCAAACGATAAAAATTGCACTTAAAAATAAATATTACTCACATAAAGCTAGTGATTCTATCAAAATTGATACCAGTGGGATAAAATTTGCCGAACACAATAGCCTTTAGTAAATCAACTATACATACTATCACAATTTCGCTATGCGAAAATGAAACACTCTCTGGGAAGGTATTTATTTTTCAACTTTCAGTCCCTCACATTTCTTGCTGGAATTGAATTAAACCAAGGACCTAACATTGAACCGCCACAGTAGCCACCACCACCACCGCCACCACCTAC